AAATAATATTAATAATTTTTACGATATATATTATTAAAGAACGATATTTGTCATATCGAAAAGCTATTCAAATCACAGTTGATCGATAAATCACTTTATGTTTTTGTGGAAATTAGGAAAGATATAGTACATATTAATAAAATATAGTTTTTTCCTACTTATTTATCAATTAATTTTATTTATAAACCGAAACATTATAATAGTAATACTAATAGAAAATTGATATATTTTTGATATTGCAATAATATCAAAAGTAATGCTACGCATATACCTGTTTTATAGTATAACAAATTAATTAAGGAGGTTTAATCTGTGCTTATCTAAACACAAATGATTAATAAATAACGATCGATTTTTTAATTTGCAGCAGATAATGATTTTCTATTAATTGATTGAATTAATCACAGGTACACGTAATAACTTGTTTTAGTCGGTTAACTATAATCAAGAAATAAACTTTTAACCGTAATCATTAATTTATAAATTGATTAAATTTTGCCCAATACTGTAACGTAGATACAAAAATTAAAAAATTGAAAAATTAATTATATCAATTTCAAAATTAATCGCATAATTTTCAATAATTTTGTCGATACGATTCAGTACTTTAACATGTTTCTTGTATACATCCTTTGAAAATAATTTATATTTTGACATATTTGTCATAATTAGCAGCTGTGCTCACTTTGCCAAACAGCTAATTGACATGGATGTTTTCTCAAGTATGGATTTGAAGAGACTGCTCATCTGTTCCTTTAAACTTATCCAACACGATTAAATTTTTAATTTATTAATTTTTGAATCTACAATGCATTATTACATATTTTATTAGTGTACAAATTTAATCGATAAAATCCTGCTATAAAAAAATTTTTCTATTTTTCAAAACTGGGACCACACGCACTTTATATTCCTCACGTAGAAAACAACTTATGTGTACAATTTCAGGTCAATCAGAAGCAGCGGTTATTTGGAAATCGATTATTTAAAAAAATGGCTTACTTAAAAAATTGCCCTGGCAAAAATACAAATCGGAGCGTAAGTAAAATGTAAAGGGAGAGTGACAGAAGCGTAAGCAAACGTTCTAAAGAGCGTAGATTGGAACAATGGAATGTAAAAGAAGTGTAAAATGTTTACAAAGCATTTTAATGCTTCTTTCACATTCCATTGCTTCAATTTACGCTCCTTAAAAGGTTTTATTACGCTTCTGTCACTCTCCCTTTACATTCGACTTACATTCTATCTTGCCTTACGCTTTATTTTCGCAAGGATGGTAAATAACAATATTAAGAAGAGTGGCAAAATATCATTTACACACAAGTGCATTATTATATGATATTATTATAAGTCAGCGGCGGCCCTCCGTATAGAATTAATATATAACATTATTGATAATAAATGAGATTCAATTAAAATGAAAATTGTACTTCTATGTAAAGAAAAACAAGAAGGAAATTTTTAATCAATTTTTTAAGTATAAGTAATATATAAGTGGTTGTATCGATTATAGAGAGTAGAGCTTGGAGAGAGTAGAGATGATTTTGGAGTTAAACAAATTCAAACTCTACACATATCAATATTTATATTCGGTCAAAGAACCATACCTCTGTTTTGGACTTTCTATAAGCAGTTTTTACAAAAGCGTTTAGAATCGTTTCTCTATCTTCTGTGATTAGTCACAAATATTCCATAACACAAAACAGTTATAATGACAGAAAAAGAAGCAACATATTGCCGTGAGTTATTCCCAATTCGGCAGTGGATACGTAGACATTACACAAAAATAAGAAAAAAGCATTATGCAACATGCAATATTTGTTTGGAATGGATATCAATTCGACCTTCGTCTTTGTTACATAATCACTTGGTACAGGAACATTCAAACGAACTAACGGAAGAAGAAAAGAAAGATGAACTTATACATTGGATATGGGATCATTGTACCATAAAAGACACACAGAATGCGATATGTAATATATGTGGCTCAAAACTTAAGTATTACAATCAAAAAGATTTCGGCAATGTACGTTATCACTTACAAAAGATGCACGGGTAAGTGTATTCTAAAGGTTATCAAAAATTGATACAGAAGATTATAAAATTGACAGCAATTGATATTAATAAATGAATAACACCTGAAAAAATGTAATAATTGAAACGGATGTTCAACAAGACACTCATTGGGATTTGTGTATTATTATATGGATATATACCATGTATATATTCAGAAAAGTACAAATTAGTAATATTCGTTCATTTTAACTTTCGTACAAAAATAATCAGATATAAGATATGTATTTTCCATATCGTTATACTAGATCGCATCTCAATATCCAAATAATAAGTTAAAAATTATATAATATAATTGAAACTAATTTCTATGCGTTTTTTTTTACTTCGTTAATCACTCTATATTTAAATGTAGGATATTTCCTCCGTATACAGATGATATGTGAGTAGCGATGCAACACGGATAAAACTATAAAAAAAGATTAAATACACTCAGCAACTTCATCTAAAATTTGTGAAGACGCAGAACATGGAACAGTGTTCTTAATAAGTAATTATTCACTGTACATTTATTATGTTTATTACAATGTAAATAAATTATTTGAATTAAATGTAGCATTTCGTGTACAAGTATAAGAAATATCAATGAAGAACAAGTAGGAAATAGGGAAACAGCTATGTTAATCAAAGAATAATTAAATGTTTGTAATAAAATTTTTTTCACAAAATTTGTAACCAAACTGTTTATAACAAAATTTTAGTACTTCATGTTCAATAGTAAAATCGTTGAACCTGAAACATATATGTCTATATGCAATATAAGTGTCAGGGATATGGAGAGAAATCCTTTTTAGTAAGAAATGTTATAATACTTACCTTTCATCAGCGTAAAAAAATATACATCCATAAATATTCTATTCAAAAATAATGTTTTCACATAATTACGAGTAATACAAATGTAACATTAAGTATAAATAAACATTTTATAACTTTTCAATTTTTTTCGTACTACATATGAATAAAGATCCATTAAGCACTTTAACATTAACAGATCATATTTTGGATCTT